CCGTTCAACAGTTTTTTTTTTTATGTAACTGAGTAACTTTTACTTAAAATACATTTTAAATTAGCTACTTATTACTTTTACTTGAGTAATTTTTCTGATGGGTAATTTTACTTGTACTTGAGTAATATTTCATCCAAGTATCCGTACTTTTACTTGAGTATGATATTTTAGTACTTTTTCCACCTCTGACCAGATCATCCAGTCAGTTTGATTCAAAGTTTTCTATCTAAGGAAAACCAGCTGATTGCATCGACTCATTGACTCTTCAGCAATCCCTCACACTAAGCATGCTTGTAGCGACAGTGGAGAGGAAAAACTCCCTTTGAACAGGAAGAAACCTCCAACAGACTTATTTAGCATTTGGGTAAAATTCCACCCAAACTTCTCACATGAGGTTTTATTTCATCTTGATTTTCTAAATTAGGAGAAGTAATGTTCTCCTAATGCTGTTGGAGCTTGGCCTGTTTTCCAGTGTAGTCCTGTTTCTCTGACTGTGACTAACTGGATGTGCTCTCTTCATCCTCTGACATGGGAGCTGGCTCGGAGCTCGTCTGCCTGGCTGTGTGTTTCCTGGACGGGGCCGCCTGTGGAGCTGGTTGACAGTTGCCTTTTGTATCTATGCTTCTTTTTCTATGTCTGCTTCTGTCTCCTTGAACCCCAGTCGGCCTCAGCAGATGGCCGCTCACACTGAGCCTGGTTCTGCTGGAGGTTTCTTCCTGTTCAAAGGGAGTTTTTCCTCTCCACTGTCGCTACAAGCATGCTTAGTTTGAGGGATTGCTGAAGAGTCAATGAGTCGATTCAATTCAGGAATTGAATTGAATAAATACAGCATATACAGTGCGTTGATATATGACAACTTTTTTTCAGATCATTATCAGATATAGAGAAACAGGTTATTGCACAGGGTATCAATAGTAATTGAACATTATTTTGCAACTTGTATTATGCACAAGTTATTGCCGTTGTAGTGTTGCATTGCAGAGTCTGGCTGCAGCAGAGATGAATGGCCTGCAGTAACGCTCCTCCCCACAAACAGTTCAGTGAAAGTTTGATCCAAAAAGCAGCAAATACAAATACGCAGCTATGGAGTGAATGTTCTACCAAAACGTTGCAAACAAAAAAGCATGTTGCTACCTTGACACGACACCGGCACGTTTCAGTTGTTCTGATTGGATAGCGCCTCCTACTGCCACTTAGCCAAAATTACAATTCTTCGTTTATCATGTGACTTCCGCAGAAACTTGCCTTGGAGTGCGGAGAACTATCTCGTACGCGAGGAGAGGCTGTTTTGTATGCGAGCAGAGACAATTTATTAAATTCTATTTTGAGTGCAACGTTAGAGTCCAGCTTGTAAAACATATTTTGTGTGTGCAACATTTAAGGACAGTTTGAAAAACAAGTTTTATTTGACACGCTTTATATGTTTGCTACATTTTGGCAGAAAATTCACTCCATACGCAGCACAGTTTGGATGTTTTTATTCATAAAAATGTGTCTATCCTATTTTTTTTTTATCCGCTGCAGAAACATCAACACTGTTTCATGATAAAGGGTCTTGGTCTTGCAGCGAGTCATTAATATTTCATGGTCTGCTCCTGTTGGGATATAAGCAGATATTTTGGTATAAATCTGGATTTCAGACCGGTTGTTAGGCCCCTCCCCTTTAGGTAATAATGGACATTACATTTTGTAGCAGACTCCACATCCAGTACCTGCATTTCAATCAGTACTACTGGTTGTAATATTTCTTTCTTCATTTACAGGCAAAAGGAAAGTGCTTACACCAACGTCGTAAAGAATCTAATCGCTCCTGAGCTCTCTCATTTATTTCTCCGTCTCTCCTAGGAAACAAGAATACAATAACATCTGCTTCCAGACATGCAGGATGTTTTAAAATAGCTTCATCGTTGTCAGAGAACATAAGAGTTTGGTGATTGTAACTGCGGCCGATCCAATCGGACATGGTGGTTATGATCCAGGGATTATTTGACATCAATATGATCCAAAGATACTTAGACCTGCATGGATTACGCTCTCTTTCTCTGTGCAGCCATCTGCTGCGTGTGGAAGCGACCTCACCTCCAGCATCTGTTTCCTTCACTTCAGCAGATCTATTATTTCCCTTTTTATAATCATCCTTTGTGAAATGTTATATCACCAAAAAGAAAAACTCGGTTTTGCAGGCAGAGGTTTGAAAAGATAAGAAAGGTTGCACAGAGGACACCATTCAAAGGCTCCATTTTGCAGCCAAGTATTATTTCCTTTCTTTGCATTATCTTAAATGTTCAGCAATTGAATGATGATTGGGTTCCAGCGTGGATGAGCGTGTTTAGAGCAGGGACAAAGGCTGCAGCTAATGTGGCTGTGCAGCAGCCGGGGTGATGGTGTCTGAGGGCAATCGTTTCCTGCTAATATCATTTAGCCGGTTTTGTGAAGTGGCCTTAGATAGGTGATATAAAAGGATTAGGCCCCCGATCCTGCCTGACGAGACTTTAATTAACAGGCTTTAAGTAAATGCTCCGCTCCCAATAATTGGATCAGAGACAGATCAGTTATCCGGCTTCTCTGCACACCAACAACTATCAGATTTTGCCTCTAGGTTAAAAGTGTTTAATCCCAGCATGGGGGGGGGGGGGGGGGGGGGGCTGTTGAAGGTTTTAATTGCACTTTTTTTTTTCCATGAAGATACTCTGGAGCCTTAATTGTCCTAAATGCCCAGAAAACTGCTCATGCAACAGCTGGATTATCGGCAGCTTTTAGTACGATAATCTGCACTTTGAAAACGATTTCAGTTTCAATTCTATTCAGTTTATTTCTATAGCTCCAATTCACATCATGTCATCTGTTTTAAAAAAGGCCTTAAAACATTTCTTTTTAGCAAAACTTTTGGTCCCCCTTAGATGTTTCTTTTTTCTCTTTTAAAACAGCTTTTATTATTATTGATTATTTTTTTTTTTATATTTCTATGCATTTCTTTTTTAAATGCTTTTTTTTGTAGCACTTTGAGGCCTTTTTGGTGAAAAGTGCAGTATAAATTAAATGAATTAATATTATTTATTATTATCTCAGGTCACTCTCCAGTTCACCAGATCATCCAGTCAGATTGATTCAAAGTTTTCTATCTAAGGAAAACCAGCTGATTGCATCGACTCATTGACTCTTCAGCAATCCCTCACACTAAGCATGCTTGTAGCGACAGTGGAGAGGAAAAACTCCCTTTGAACAGGAAGAAACCTCCAGCAGAACCAGGCTCAGTGTGAGCGGCCATCTGCTGAGGCCGACTGGGGTTCAAGGAGACAGAAGCAGACGTAGAAAAAAGAAGCATAGATTAGGGTTTCCAAGATACTAAACTTTTCAACTTAATACCGATACTAAGTAAAATATTCGATACTCTACGTCATTTTTGATACCACAAGGATAAAAACAAAGACTCCAAAATTCAACAGAAATTTTTTCATTAATAAACAAAATACAATAAATAGATAAATAAATACAATAAAGAATATTTTGAGGTTGTATGCTGTGCAGAATATTAAGCAAGCTTGATAAAAAACTTACTAAATTAAAATTAAGTGTTCCTTCCTTGGCTATCGATACTTTTGAAAATGAGTATTGTATTAGGATACAACTTTTCAGTATCGATACTTTTTTGAGTATCGATACTTTTGACAACCCTAGCATAGATACAAAAGGCAACTGTCAACCAACTCCAAAAGAGTGAGCTCTAGTAGTGAGCCCTTCACAAGTGCATTTTTTTTCACTACATTACCTTGAATAAGACAAAAATAAATAAATACAATATAATCCTATCAACAATGTGTAATCAGTAGCCTATTCAACAGCTATAAAGTTATAATTTGGATACTTATATCTGTTGGTAGACATTCAAATCACCAAACCTCTTTAACTGCATTCTGCTTTTTCACAGATTGCTCCGTCCAATGGGGGACCTGGGATACGGAGGGGGGAGCCATGTTTACTCTCAGGTGCTGATGGTTTGAAAAACGCTCCACTTCATTCCCCCATGACTTTAGGATTGTGGATGAGGAGTGTGTTTTATAAAAGAAACGACGTAGCTAAATGGAGAACGGTTCGAGGACCAGTAGAGTATAAATCGTAGGGTTATCATCCGTGAACAGCTCCCTCCACTCTCTGTTTTCCTCTTAAAATACAGCCGCGCCGTTAACTGGAGAGAGCCGTCCGTCCCGTCAGAAACTGAGTCAGATCACATCCTTGTTTACAGAACAAGCCTCAAAGGAAAACTAAAACTTTTCCACTTGAGTAGCTCTGGATAGAGCAGATTTTTTTTTATATTTAACCCAAAATGTTAACACATTTTATTTTATTTTTTTACAATCAAGCTATAATTCCTGCTCCAAATGGGTCGCTCTGTCAGCTAAAGGCACATTTTACAGTCTCTATACTCCAGCTCACACTGAGCCTGGTTCTGCTGGAGGTTTCTTCCTGTTCAAAGGGAGTTTTTCCTCTCCACTGTCGCTACAAGCATGCTTAGTGTGAGGGATTGCTGAAGAGTCAATGAGTCGATGCAATCAGCTGGTTTTCCTTAGATAGAAAACTTTGAATCAATCTGACTGGATGATCTGGTGAACTGGAAAGTGACCTGAGATGACATGATGTGAATTGGAGCTATAGAAATAAACTGAATAGAATTGAATTAGTTGACGATCATTTCAATAATTGATTAATCTGCTGATTATTTTTCAGTTAAACCACATGAAAGTAAAACTTTTCCACTTGAGGAGTTCTGGATGGAGCAGATTGACAGAAGAATTTTTTTTTTTTAATCAACATTATTATTTTTTAAATCTTGATATAATTGCTGCTCTAAGTGTGTCTCTCTGTCAGCTAAAGGTGTTTTACCGTCACTATATTCCAGCTAATTATTAATTGAAGGCTAAACGAGTTAATTATTTCAATCATTGATCATTTCCTGCCTATTAAAATGAAAACCTTTAGTTTCGGTGTTTTTATTTCCTTACCTGAACGGTTTGAACGTTAGTAAACATCTCCGGATCATCCTTCCTCCGTCTCTGCAGCCTCCAGTCATTCCTCCGCTGACATGGCTGCTAACCTGCCGACCTGGAGCAGCTCAGCCCCGCTGCGCTCCGCCGCTCCGGATCCCACGATCACGATGCTCCGCTCCTTCCGTGGAAAATCAGCCCGACTTTCATTCAGAAACTCAATGGAAACTGTTTGTTTCTGCGGGATTGCTGCGCTAATCAGAGGCTGATCGCGGAGCCTTTGATGAAAATGACGTTTTGTCCGTAAAAATAAAAACAATAAATAAACGCGGTTTAATGAATAATAATGGTTTTTGTTATTTCTGTAGAGAAGCAGCAGCTCCGCGGAGGGATGAAGTTCAGAGGAGAGCCGGAGCGACTCTGACCGCTCTGCGCTTCATTTATGTCAATTAGCGCAGGTAAGGCCTGCTATATCCGGTTCATACTTTCAAAGTAAAAGTCTCAATGATTTTTCTTCAAACCCACAAAACATACATTAAATTCGTAGCGAAGTCATATTTAAATGTCAAATCATTCTGGCTTAAACGTGTATATAAATGTACTCTTTAACAGACGATGCTGTCCCAAAATTTAGAACATTTCTTTAAAAATAAATAAATAAATAAAATCTGTTTTTTTTCCCGTTATCTTCTACAGGCCAGTTAGTTCTACGTCAGCCTGAACACCTAAATTCGGCCAATCATATATCAACGCTCATCTGTCAATCAGATGTTTTCGGTCGTAGCATCTTGATTCATGTGTCGCAGCTAAAATACGCAACGGTTGAAATCAGAATCCTTTCCTTTCCCATTGAGTTGCGTCCCAGTGTTCACGGGGATGGACGTCTGTGTCTTCGGCAGGCGTAGAGCTAACAGAACTGGCAGCATTGCGAGGCAAGGGCTCAAACATGGACGGCTGGAAGCCTTCTACACCAAACCAAGCTTCTGCCGCCCTGGCGTCCTCTTCCACAACATCTTCGTCCCCGCTTTCCTCCTCTAAATAAAAAATGGATGACGGAGGAGACTCATCCACGACCTCCGACACTAAACTCTCCTCCTCTTGCATGTTTCCTCTGTCCATAGCGTTCCTTGACAGCGTCGTTTCTAAGTCACCAATTTAGTGCTACTTGGTCCAAACATAGATAGGAAAACAACAAGAAAAGGGACAAGAAGAGAGGTACATAACCTAGAACAGATCTATCTATATAATGGGTCTGTTCTATGTATTGTCTTTTCAGTTCAGAGGGCCCCCCTCCTGTCTTTGCCTACGGCCCTAAATTTCCTAAATCCACCCCTGGCTGTTGTTGACATAAAAGCTATTTGGGTTGCATTATAACTGAACACATCAACTTATTAAAAATGTTGGTGGTTTTCTGTGTCGGAGCAAGAGTTTGAATTTAAAAGAAAATTTCTGTTTTTGGTTGGTTTGTTAAAACATTCGAAATATGTACCTTTATAACAATCTTTATAACAATGACATGAGGTGAATTGGAGCTATAGAAATAAACTCAATAGAATTTATTGTTTCTCTCTGTAACATGTATGACAGCCCAGATGATCACTGTGATCTTAAGAATCATGCAGGATTTCCCATATCAAGTAAATAAGTTAAGTTGGATTTTACAGATTGAACATAGTGCTGCTGTTTTATTTAGAAGGCACTAGATCGTCGCTTCCTGTTTGATTCCTGCTTCTTCAGGCTGACTTCCTCCCTTGGACACAATGATGTTGTGAACCTGATGGTTGAGATCCTGGGTTATAGTGTTTTGCACCTTGATAGGATAATCATTACCGAGAAATAAAAATAAAAAAAAGCCTTAAACAAGGAGTGTTTTATGACGTACTGAAGGTTTCACAAGCTATGTTTCAATAAAAAAAATAAAATAAAAAATATCACAAAGAAAATGTTGGGTATTTTTAATAGTTCTTATGCAAATACAGAACTAGTGTTTGCGGCTGGAACGTATTGCGTTTTTTTCAGCAGCACTGAATAGGTGAAAACATTTCAGAACCATGGACAGCGAATTAGAACAGGACGCAACAGCGGCACTCAGTGGCAGAACGTGGTACAGCAAGAGGAGATGACAGGACTGTCCAAATCACCTAAAAAAACTTAAAAAAAAAAAGAAAAACAATAAAGGACATTTAAAAATAGATAAAAAGAAACAGATAAAAGTGTAGAAAGCAAAACACTGGAGGTTATTTGAAGGCATAATAGGAGATATTTGCAGGGAAGAGAGACTGAGGGTGACAGGGTGATTTCTCAGACTCTCTTCATGCATCACTGGCCCCTGGACAGGGGAAAGTGACTGGCAGCTTGCTGCTCATGAAGGCTGTCCCTCTCTGTATGTTCGCTGAATATTTCTGCGTTACTGACGGAGTCGTGGTGCAGTGAGTGTGCTCCTGTCTTGGCATCAGAGTGAGGACCGTTTTTCTGATTTCACCATCAGATTGAGGAGAGGTTGTTATAAACAGAGGCGATTTTCCTGGTCCTTACAGTCTATTTTGCTAAGAATTTGGTTTAGGTTTAGTGTCAGGTTTACACTGGTAACGGTTAGGTTTAAGGTTATTGTCAGGGTTAGTGCATAGAAGGGGGGGGGGGGGGGGGTATCATCCATCACTGGCAATCTGGTTAGGGAGAAACACAGGTGACCATGATAATCTGAGGGAAGATGATTATCCATGAGAGTCACTTACCTGGTTTAACAGTTCAGTCCATCCTCTCAGAGTGAGGCAGGATCCGACCGATGTGGCAGAAGCTGCCCCGGTTGAACCAGATGCTGCAGCCCCAGTGAATGATCCAATCCAAGCCAGGTCAGGGAAACAGTTCAGAACAGGTAGGCTCAGAGATCCAGGAGTCCGTAACCCGGTAAAAGCTGATTTATACTAAGAAACCAGGTCGTCTGCGTGTGTGTCGCAGTTAACACAATTATGCCCCCGCCCCCTTCTACAGAAACTCTTGTGCACCTCTCCAAAATTGTAGGTGAGTGCAGACAGGAGGCCTCTGATTGGTCAGATCTCTATCCGCTCTACACTATGCGTATTTCCTGTTTGGTTCCTTACCGGCTTGTTCTGTTGGTCTGACCGCCATATTGGAAAACGGCTGGTGAAGATGGAGCAGCTAGCAGAGCGAGGTGAGAACGCTGGGACCCTTTTTCCTCCTGGATCCCCGCTCTTTTTGGCCCTCATGTCCCTCAGTTGTCGCACAAACTTGCCCCCACTTCCTCACCGCCTCGGCCGTATCTAGACCCACAGCTAGTTCCTGAACAAATGATAAGGATTCTTTGTGTGTCCTTGCATTGGTTACAATAGAGCCAGTTTTCCTAAATACTACATAATAAGGAACTCTGCTTATGGCACCCAAAGTTGGAGTGAAGTTACAGGTCAGATTAATTCAATTCAGTTCAATTCAGTTTATTTATATAGCGCCAAATTCACAACACATGTCATCTCAAGGCACTTTACAGTTCAACCAGATCAAATTGATACAAAGTTTTCTATCTAAGGAAAACCAGTTGATTGCATGACTCATTGACTCAAATACAATCCCCCACACTAAGCATGCTTGTAGCGACAGTGGAGAGGAAAAACTCCCTTTTAACAGGAAGAAACCTCCAGCAGAACCAGGCTCAGTGTGAGCGGCCATCTGCCGAGGCCCACTGGGGTTCAAGGAGACAGAAGCAGAGATACAAAAAGCAGCTGTAAAAGGCGGCCCCGTCCAGGAAACACACAGCCAGGCAGACGAGCTCCAAGGCAGCTCCCATGCCAGAGGACGAAGAGAGCACATCCACTCAGTCACGGTCAGAGAAACAGGACCACACTGGAAAACAGGCCGATCTCCAACATCTATAAACAAGGGTGTTGATAGAAGCAGCACAGCTGATGTTTCTTTCCAGGATGACGTCACAGCCAAACAGGAACAGACGAGGCAAAGCTACTCTGAGGAAAAGCAGAGAGAGCAGAAGGTTAGAGATTGAACTAACAGATTCTGCAGAATAGGAGAACAGAGAGAGAATGAAGCAGAATGATGAAATGGGGGTCCCTATGTCCTCCAAAAGTCTAAGCCTATAGCAGCATAACTATAGAGATAGCTCAGGATAACCTGAGCCACCCTAACTATAAGCTTTATCAAAAAGGAAAGTTTTAAGCCTAGCCTTAAAAGTAGACAGGGTGTCTGCCTCACGGACTAAAACTGGTAGTTGGTTCCACAGGAGAGGAGCCTGATAACTAAAAGATCTGCCTCCCATTCTACTTTAGAAATTCTAGGAACCACTAGTAAACCTGCAGATTGAGAGCGAAGTGCTCTGTTAGGAACATAAGGAACAATCAGATCTCTGATATCAGATGGAGCTTGGCCATTTAAGGCTTTATATGTGAGAAGGAGGATTTTAAATTCTATTCTTGATTTAACAGGAAGCCAATGAAGAGAAGCCAGGATAGGCGAGATATGATCTCTCTTTTTAATTTTCATTAGAACTCTGGCTGCAGCATTTTGGATCAGCTGAAGGCTTTTAACTACAGTTTGTGGACTTCCTGATAGTAAAGAATTACAATAGTCCAGCCTTGAAGTAACAAATGCATGGACTAGTTTCTCAGCATCACCCCTGGACAGGAGATTTCTAATTTTTGCAATGTTCCTCAGATGAAAGAAGGAAATTCTAGAAACCTCCTTGATATGGGACCTAAATGACAGGTCCTGATCAAAAACAACACCAAGATTTTTTACTTTATTATCTGAAATCAGTTTAATCCCATCCAAATGAAGTGACTGGCTAATCAGTTTCTTTTTCAGAGACTCTGGTCCAAAGACTATAACTTCTGTTTTGTCTGCATTCAGAAGCAGAAAGTTAAGAGTCATCCAGGTTTTTATGTCTTCAAGACATGCCTGTAATCTATGTAATGGGTTAGCTTCATCTGGATTTATAGACAGATATAGCTGGGTATCATCAGCATAACAGTGGAAATTAATCCCATGCTGTCTAATAATTCTACCAATTGGGAGCATGTATAAAGTAAAGAGAATTGGTCCTAGCACTGATCCCTGTGGTACTCCACAGGTAACCTTTGAGCGTGTTGAAGATCTATCATTAACATGAACAAACTGAATTCGATCAGATAGATAA